TTTTACAGTAATTTGTTTTAACTGTATTGTTATATAATTGTTGGCACTGGCACTTATAAACACTAAATGGCTAAAAATTGCAATAATTATTTGTGGAGCCAGATGTTGGAGTTGGAATAAATACCTCTATTTTTTTAAAGAAATAAAAGCCAAACACCTTATCATTTTCGTAATTATTTGTTTTGGTTGCTTAAAAACACACATAAACAAATTATCCGATTACTCGATTAATCGATCGATTAAGTGCTAGATTAATCGATTAAAAAAAGAATCGATAGCTGCAGCCCTACCTTTGGTCACTTGGAATCTGCTATGAAGCAGATTTATTTATTTATTTCCATATTAATTTATTTTATACACCATTTTATTGGCCTGTATGTGTGCTTGGACTGTTAAAAAATTAAGTATAAACAAATATTAAATATTGAAGATATATATTTAACTGAGAGATACATATACAATTCTTTTTAATCCATCCAGAACACCATTGAAACCTCCAAGCAATTCCCTAGCAACCAATCAGAACACCCTAACAACCACATAACATGCTAAAAACAAGTCAGCAAACCTCAACAGCACCATTCTCCTTTTAGTTTTACTTTAGTTACTGAAGGACTATAGGAATTCAAAATATAAGAAAGGCTGCCCTTCAATTAATGTACTATTTTTAGGATCATTACCGGGTTTATATAATCTATGAAAGCAACGTTAGATACATTGCATAAAAGCCAAATGTATGCCTGGGTTAGAACTAAATGACAAACAGCCTTAAAAAATAATTATTCCCATGTTAATGTGGATGCCAGGCTCCCTGAGAAAAACACAAATATGTGCCTTATTATGTGCATCTTATTTATCCATTAGAGGATTTACAGGTATTACAAAATGTGATCATTGACAATTTAAGGGTCCTTGAAACATCTCTAATTAGCATATTAATTGGTGCCTGATTTCTCTGAATGACAATGACAATTCCTTCCACAGTGATGATTAAGATCAACTTTTTTAGCCATGCAGTGCGATATTTGAAATGCACGCTTTTATGTTTCAGCTGGTATCGGAGTAAATGAATTAATTAGAAACATAATTTGCCTCTATGTTTGGATGCACTTATCTCAAAATACATTCCACAAATTTGAGAGAGGATGGCAAGAGATAAAAAATAAGCAAGTGAATAAAAAATGGCCAACCTGAGTTAGAAAGACTCACTAATTTAAGAACTCCCTTAATCGTTTTGCTGCTGTCAGTATGGATAAAAATCTTTCCGTTCCAAAAAAAAAAGAGAGGAAAAAAAACACGTGGCCCCCTCACGGTTTTCTCGCTGTCTGTGTACATGACTCCAGTTATTCGTTTTTCCCCCCTCTCATTCTTCCCAAAGATGAGACTGTCACTTCCTTTTTGCTCAATATCAATCCCTTCCTCACACAATTTCTCCTGTAACTCCGGGGGGTTGATGCAGCAACGCCTCTGCTCCATGCACATTTTCCAGCCAAAAGCGCTTGAAAACACTTATGCCAAATCTAGTTTGTATGTGTCTACACCCACACTATTTTTGCTCATTTGTCATCATCTGTAGCACTGGCCCTCCTTTTTCAAGAAACCGGCCTAACAATATAGTTCATTACAAAGGAAAAGAGATTTTCACATTTAAACTCAAACTTTCAAGCTAATGGCTAATAGGCTAAGTAAAGGGTTGCTAAATGAGGCTTAACTCTTAACAAGTGTTAGCTTTTTTCAAACAAGCATGCTAAGCAACAAGATACTCACAACATTTTAAAATCACCCCGAAATGAAAATTCACTCCATCTATTTACATGTAAGAATATGTGCAAACTGCATTTTGTATAACAGGCTATCCCAGACAGCAAACTGACATTGAATCAACGTGGAAACGACGTCTCTCATGACATTGAAACAACGTTGATTTGCTCATCGAATTAACGTTGAACCAACGCCAGACGCGGCATTCTTCAAAGCTAAATGAAATCGAAAATTGGTTTGCTTTCATAACGTTGAAACAACGCGTTGATTTCAAGTTGATTTTCCGTTAGTTTTGAAAGAATGACGCGTCTGACGTTGGTTCAACGTTAATTCGATGAGCAAAACAATGTCAGATCAACGTTGTTTCGATGTCATATTTCCACGTTGATTCAATGTCAGTTTGCTATCTGGGATATCACTTCCAGTTTAGGTCTTTTTTATGCACTTCGTTAACCTCTGTACATATAGGCTATAAAATATATCAAAATAAAGAACAGAAAAAAATATATACATTTATCATGCATTCTTTTAATATTTATGTACAGATATTCATACAACAAAATATTATGGGCAACATGAAAATTTGGTGAAAAAGATCAGAAATGCTAGTGGTGGCTTGCAACTTAAAAAAAATAAATAAATAAAAAAATCCCTGGCGGAGAAAGAGTTAAGCCCCATCCCTTTCTTACAGTCGACCGCAAGCTCGCGGTTTAGATCTGAACGAGTCCGCGCTCTACATTTTACTTTTTTTTCCCCCCGATAGTCTGTTTTACTCTGATGTACTTCACAACATGGAAGAAATAAATCTCCCTCTACTTTTGTTGTTACATTGCAATTTTAAAAGACAGCTACTCTTTTGAAAAAAAAAATATTTGCGAATAGAGTGCCGAAGTTACGACGTCACTTTGTAGGCCAAAACGCAGATGTGAGTTAGCATTCCCTCGCTCTAAAGATGGGATTTTTGAATGGGTTTTTGCTAAATCGCCTGAAATAAGGTCTTCGGTGAATAAAGCTTCTAAATGTTTTCACGTTTTGATCTGACATAGAACACACAATTATAACCTGCTTGTGGTTTTTGAAACTTTATTGTGTCTGCTTGTGTTTTTTAGAAAAAACTATATATAGGCTTCAAAATTTGGATTAACTTGTAAAGATTATCTTGATAGACAAAGTGCTTTTCCATTTGATGGAACCCTTAAGTTAGTAAAGTTGCTACTTTAGTTAGTTAATCCCCAACGATGTTCTGCGTGATTCGACAGATCCCGCTGCTAAACAATATTATCCAGGTTTCTAAATATTGACCACAGATCTTAGCAAACCCAGAAAACAGCAGCGACACATCTCCGCTGATGCCATAATTTGTCAGAATAATTTATTGAGTTTCTGCGCCTCTGCAAGGTGTTTTGATAAATGGTACAAGTCACACTGAACTGTTATCAAAAGAGAGGGAGAGCGAGCGGCGGCTAGGACGAGTGGGAGAGAGAACGATAAGAGAGAAAGAGAGAGAGGGAGTGGTACGGCAAAGGAAAATTGCAGCAAACATTTCCATGCCATCATCCAATCTGTTCTGGGAGACGTGGAGATGACAGCTCTGAATCCGAGCAGGTGTCTCTTCTACCTTCCATTACCTCCGCTATGTATGAATTAGATTTACAAAATCTCATAAAAAACAGCCCCCACGTTTTTACCTTCAAAATCTCTCCCCATGTCCCTTTTTCACATTATTTGCTATGCTGCAGAGATTGGACGTCTACGTATCGGGAACAGTATAGCGGAAGCGCACTGGAGGGGACTAGCGCAGGCAGCTGGAGAAATAAAGGATGATTTACCGAGCAACGCCAGGGCTTGAAGCGCAGACGACTATTGAGTGAATAAACCGCCATTGGGTGAATAAACTCAATACATTCCTAAACATATGACAGGACCAGACGCTCCCAATCCCACCAATCGCCCAACACAAGTCCTTGCTCTTGGTGATATTTGGTTCATAAATCCACAACTTTCCTGTTCTGAAAGCACACACACTGACATGTTTTAATTCCATCATATTTTCTGCTGAGTTCGAAGGGGATTACGCCATCTGGCATCAATAGAGTGACACTTAGTTCTTTTTACTTGGATAAATACACTTCTCTGACCATGTCTTTTCATCTCAGATTTTAGTTCCGTTCCAAAAGCTAAATAGGAACCCTAAATAAGAACCTACTTTCTAAGGTAATCACTAAACCTCATAAGTGACTAATTTAGGATGCTTTCTGTAGGTACAAACCTCATGCAAAGTGCATGTAAGATGAGACTTAAAATAGATTTCAAATAAGTTTGACATTAGTATGTTGCTATGCGGTTTAATGATTTGATATAATCGTATGTGATTTATTCCTGTGCTGAACTTTAAGCAGCCATTGCTTAGTTGTAATGTTGTAGTGTTTAATATTTTTGTGGAAATCAAGATAATTTTTTTTCAATATACTTTGATGAATATAACATTCAGCATTTATTTGAGAAAAAAAAAGAAATATTTCACAACATTATAAATGTCTTTCCTGTCACTTTTAATCAATTTTATTCCTAACACTGTGTTACAAAAACATATATTGGCCCCAAACTTTTGAATGGTAGTGAACATGAATTTCTCTAGTACAGCACATGGAGAGCATGTCACTAGCAAGTCTAGCCAGCCAAATACATAAAATATGTCAAAAGAAAAATATGTAGGCCTATTAATTGACATCTGACACCTTCCTTGCCTACAGGCAGCTCACTAGTTTCTAAAACAGAGCATTTTTTCTGTTTTGTTCCCTTTCTCCTGCCATTTGATGTGATCAACCTTTGTTTTCCGTTTGTGAATTGGGTCTGGGGAATGTGATTGTTTACACTTACAGGACTGAATGAGGGAAGCATGAGAAATAGACTAGAGCTGTTTCATGTTGAAGTTATCCTGCCTCACGACTTTATCCTCCCTGGACTTTCAAACAGTAAAGTTGTCCTGCAAATGGATTCCATGCTCTCTGTAGACAAGGACTGTCCACAAAACACCTGTTGAATTCACATTCCAACAAGTAAATAAATCAATAGACAGCCGTTTTTTTTCTATATCTGAGATACTTCTCTCACCAAAATAACAACAACAATGCGTTTAACATTTGGAGAAACTGTTATAAACATTTCTATACAAGAGATGGTCCTTACTTCAGAAACTGTTTACAACTTAACTTTAGCCCAAAGTAGCTATAGCCTACCTCCGTTCGTGCGACGTAATTCCCGTCATCAGGAAGGTCCCAATTTTTGCGTGGATAACAACAGCGCACGTGCGAGTGACTTGAGCGTTTGAAAACAAAGTCCACTAGATAGTGTGCACACGCCGAACGCGTATTTTGGGCTTTCCACGGTCAGGCCAAATAAGTACACTTTAAAAGGCTGCCGCTTATCAGCCAATCAAAAAAAGAAAGGGATTACACAATAGCCAATCAGAAAATATCACTGTTGTATCTAGGTAAGATTTAAGATAACATGATCTCCTGTTTTAATGTTACAAAAATTCACACAACTTGTTTGACACAAACAATGACAACTTGACTGCTGTTAGAGAATGTTTCCCAGATAATAAGCATCAGTTTTGCATGACTATCTGTAAATTAGCCAACCGTTTGACAGCATGTTCACTTAAAACACCTGCTCAGAGCAAATAGTTTTAACCTAGTCATTTTTCGTTATCACACAATGACTGTCATTTTGTCACATTATAAACAATATCATCTCTCTCCAAATAGGCTTAATAATTTTATAAGCACTAATAATAATAATAATTCCTATAAGAAGAGGAAGAGAATAAATACTTTGCATTTGGTTGAATTGTCAGTGCCAAGTCTCAAATATTTTCTTCTGCAAAGTCTGAGCAATTATTAATAACAACAACAAAAACACTAATAATAATATTATGAAACACCACCATTCCAGTGAACCGTCTAACCCCAACAACTACAACATGACACAACTTACATTTACAAATGTTTATGTGAAAACCCCTATTAGTTTGACTTTAAAGTGTAAATTGCAGGTTAATCACCACAACCAATTAATGTGTCAATTAAAGTGCTCAATATGTATATATTACATGTTATTTATTTATTTACAGTAACTGGGTGATGATGACGTCATTAGAGGGAGCGGGGGGCGGTAAATGCGGGACTCCCGCAAACTAGAAATATCTATGAATAAAACATTAAACAAATACATTTTTATTCATCTGTTGCAGAAAAGCAACAAGAACAACTAAAACAAAATAGAAAAGATTTACAGGCCAGAGTTTCTATTTATAACATGTTTGCAGCATTGAGCGATGTAGCCAATCACAGACATACGTGTTGATTTCTAGGAACGCACTGGCCAATCAGAAGCATTTACGATAGACTTCCCACACCACTCAAAACGGCACATTGCATTATTTTGTGAAAAATTTAACCTGCAATTTACAATTTAAATGTCCTGACCACAGTTGGAAACCAAACCTGCAACCTTTCTGAAGTGCATAAAACAGAAAAAAATGTCATTAACTTTGAATAGAATTGCAATTACTTCATTCTGAACAGTGAGATCTGTACAATGCTGGCAGATTGTGTTGATCTGGTGACCCTGACCCGAGGAGTGAAATGACTGAATGCATTTTCCACTTTTCCCTCATCAAATTTAATTATCCAATTGCACTTATATTTTCTCCAAAGTGAGGATGAAAGTGAAAGGAGAAAAGTGAAGGGGAAGAAAAAGACAATCCAACCTCCCTCCATTGGAAGAGTCTCAAAACAAGTAATTTGTCATCTTTCAGATTCAGGTTCCTTCTCAAACTCATTGCTTTGCTTCCACAAATTAGCAGGCTATTCTAATAAACAAGAATTCCACCCTGTTCCCTTTTCCCAGTCAAGCACATCTGAAAATAAGATACATTTCCCTTTAGAGCTTTCTACCTGCAAAAACCACCATGTTTGACAGCATGTTTCTGAATGCTTTTCAAATGTTCATTTTTATGGACCTATATTCCATGCATTTATATAAAACCCATCTCAAATGATTGTATGCGACCCTGCAATGTTGCTGATTATATAGACTCTTCATTGAAAATAGCTTTAAGTATAAGAATAGCTGGGCTCATACAAATGGATTACATAAAGTCGGTCTGAAGGGAAATGCAAGCATCCACTAAGAGCATACACAACACATAATGAATTATATAAGCAACCCAACTAATGGATATTAATGGGCAATTAACCATGCACAAATTGCCACCAACGAAAATAATTTGCATAGAGCTGCCTCATTTGAGATTATTAGGCATTAGGAGATGCCATCCATTATTAGTGTAGGATATTGTGACTCAGTCTTTTAAGAAATATTCCTTCATTTAAAGTGGTGAGTGTGGTAAACACTTAAACTCAAACAGTAAAGGCAGCAAAAAGAAAAAGTGCACGAGGCCAGGACAGTGTAAAGAAGGTGCATTAGCTTCCACTCAGACCTTTAAAATCAATACAATTAAATACATTCGCTTCAAAACACAGAGAATGAAATTAAATCTATACCTCAACTTATACAATTCTATATTAATGCTGCAATATCTTTCTAGAATGCAGTGATCTTCTTTTTGCATTATATCTGACACGTTGATAGCTTTCATTCATTCCCACCAGCGATGTCTCCCGTTTAATACCGGAAAGTAAGTTAATATTAGTAACTGAAACTCAAATTTGAACTGCTATCTATCTATCGATCAATCTCTGCTCTGTCTGTATAACCTCCAAACTGTTGTAAACTTCCAGCCAAGGTCTTGTCAAGTGGATGAACTTTTTTGCAATCGTAGTGCATAGTTCAACAGTAAATTCACATATAAATACAGTAATATGCTATCTAAACATTGGGACTTTTTTTTCCTTCTTTTCGACATAATGCTTGCTAGGCTACTGTTAACAAAAAATTGAGGTCAAAGAAAGGCCCGTTCACACCGAGAAAGAATCATCACTATATTAGTGTCCACACCAGCAAACAAAAATCTTTAAAATCTGGTGGATTCTGAGTGTCAACGTAAATGTTTTTATCATTCCTCAACTGGAAAACAAAAGGTTCTGAAAGTGATTCCAATGATGTTGTTTCTCTGCATCGTTAGTTGTGGTGTGGACTCTGCTATTCTTTTATTTTTAGAACAATTTTTAAAACTATATCCTTATCGTGTAACCATATATAGAGTGCCGAAGTTACGACGTCACTCTGTAGGCCAAAAACGCGGAAGTGAGTTAGCATTTTAGCACTGCCGCTTCCCTCGCTCTTAAGTCTATGGGATTTTTGAATAGGTTTTTGCTAAATCACCCGAACTGTACTGTTGATTAAGTATTCCATCTAAGAAAGAAAGTATTGGGTTAGGAATGACATAATCAGTAAATTCATTCATTTTTGTTTGTACTATTCCTTTAAATAATCCCATAGTTCTCAGCAATTAATCAACATGAAAAGCAGGATAATAATCAAATTTAATATACACACACAACAAAAAACTGATAACCAAATCTGATATACCAGACACGTTTATTTTTAATCCTAATGCACTTTGGAAGTAGCATCGCAGTTCGTGCCAGTAATTTAGAGCGCTATCTCAGAAAGTAATTGTTAGCTTTGTAAACAGTTTTGATGACCGGGTAGCTGAGGAACAGAACGGCTGATTGCGTATTGATCAGGAGAAGGTGTGCGCTGAAGTCAGGATGGAGGTAACGGGGCGGAGGGGGCTCCCTCGCACAAGGTGAAGGAGGTCAGAGACACGTTACGCATCCCAGTGTGAGTTTAAGAGAGGGTGATGAACAACAACAACAACAAAAACCATAGCTGAGATGATGAAGAGACTGTGTATTTGCAGAGGGGGTTTTCTTCATCCCTGTGTGAATCAATGAAGGGTCTGTAAATAAACACACACTTCTGCCTTCCTGACCCTCCCATCAGAAATGGTTACTAGTAATGTGGATATTTTATGATGGGTTATGAGTGCAGTATTGAATACGGGAAAACACTGAAAAATTGTGGCAGGTATCAATACAAATTTGACCTTTTTGAGAGCATGAGTTAATGTTTTAATTGAACTGAGAATGAGTGTCACGCCACCCGTGAGAATCACAAAATTAGAAAATGTTTTTAATATATTGTTGTTCTGACCTACACAGCTATTAGTGTTATGCCTGAATACTTATTGCAGGAAAACCATGAATAATAACAAATGCTTTCAAATACTATGAACATTTTTTTTTGTTGTTGAACTGATGAACGATCTAAAGCAATCAGCAAATCTAAAATTATAATGCAATATGTTTTTGTGAAGTCTATAATATCTAAGTCAAGGACTTTCCCTGTGAATAACAAGCATTAACACCAAGTTCTGTGGTGTGCTATTTGATCTATGAAATTGTTCTTTGATTGGCTATACTGTAATTGTACACTGTAAAAAAATATTTTCATGATTTGTAATCACAACATTTTTTTTTTTGTCAAGTCAACTTAGATCATTTATATAGTTCAGATAACATAATATTTTGAGTTTATGGTGATTAAATCAATCTCCTTCATTGTATTAACTCAATTTTTCCATTTCAATGAACTTAAAATTTTAAGGCAACCAGGTTGCTTATTTTTTTTAAGTTAAACCAACAATATTTTTTTACAGTGTAGATTTAACTTAAAAAAATGAAGTAACCTGGTTGCCTTCAAAATTTTAAGTTCATTGAAATGGAAAATTTGAGTTAATACAATGGAGATTGATTTAATCCTCAGAAACTCAAAATATTATGTTACTACATAAATGCTTTAAGTTGATTTGACAAAAGAAAAAATGTTGTGATTACAAATCATGAATAAAAAAATGTTTACAGTGTCTAAAAAGAGAAAAGCTATAAGCCTATACGTGTGTGTGTGTGTGTCTGATATTCCCTAGGTTATGGGCACCAAATGTCCCCTCAACGATAGTAATAGCAGTAAATTGTTACCTTATGGAGACATGGGTAAAAAAAAAAAAATACATTCCACATCACAACTATAATGATAACAACACAGAGAAACAATAATATTGGAATCACTTTCAGCTCATGGATGATAAAAAACATTGACAGTCAATCAGAACATTATTAAACCATCATTATTACAAACATCATAATGATGGTTTTGCCTTGCAGTTTGGAGATTGCACAAACACAGTCCAAGCACAACACCTCAGTTGTATTAGTTTGGATTTTATAGAGGTGTGACCGAACTCTTACCAGGAGTTTAATTATCAGGCTTACGAGCGTGCGCTCAGCCCACCGACTAATAAACTCTCCGATTGAACGCATTAAACATTACCGCGATGGCCCTGGAAA